CCCCAAAACCCCAAAACCCCTGATCAAAATTCGTAAGTACTTTCTTAAATCTAATTGACATAGAAAATAAAAATAAACTTTGATAAATATAGATACAAACTCAGTAATAGAAGAATAAAAAGGTAATTAATGAAATCTCTTAAAATCTCTAAATAAAACACATCTAGTCCCTCGAGGTCTTCTAAAACCAATTTACAACCCAAAGCATAAACCAAGCTAGTTGCAGCTACTTAAATGATAATGAGCAGTCTTAAGCCTAGAAATTGATCGAACAATATGTCAATAAATAGCAGAGCCTCATTGTTTAATACAATTCAAAAGAAGAGGAAAGTATCAGAGATGCAGTCTATATCTCGAGCAAGTCAAGCAAAATTGCTTTAGGACAAAGATACTTTTAAAACTAGACTTCCTGAAGAATCTCCAGTAGTTCTTCAAGACTAAAGTTAGTTATCTCGACAATAATTAATTTATAGAGATGGTCATAAGAGTATTTGATGGAGATCTATCTGAAACTAAGCAAGAAGCATTGTAGAAATTTAGAGAGAGGCATGTCTAATAAATGCTTAACAAGAGAAATAATCCTTTTGGCTAGACATAATAAAAAAAATAGTTATGGCTTCAGAACGGAAGCAATAGCATAAGCAGAGCAAATCATAACATAACAGGATTAAGGAAAAACTCAGATCAAAGTGATAGTTAAATGAACAGGACATATGTAGAGGCTAGCCAGCATAATTAAGATTTATCACATACAATTACAAGCAGTATAAATAATCTCAGGCTTAACCATGAATCACCAACCTAATTCTAGACAATATAAGAAAAAAGTAAGCTATAAGAATATGACGAGTTCAGAAATTCATCTAGACTTGAAATAGATTCTCCCATGCTAGGGATAAAAAACGATTATAAAAAGAATATCAATAAAAACATTAATTATAATGATTCCTTTGAGACGTATTAGAATGTGAAGCTTAATAAGACATTCATGATAACATAAAAGGAAAAAAGAATTCATCACAATAGATTTAGGAGTTCTGTTAATGGCTTGAATTAGAATGATAAAAAGCTGAAGTAATAAATATTTGATAATACCTAGGAAAAACTTATAAACAATCAGAAATTCTTCAGGGTTACTCATTCATCGCAAAATTAAAAAAGATAACCTGGTTAAATTAATTATAGGAATCTGCAGTCTCTACCTAAATAATACCAAACATTTTATAGTAACAAAGCAAATTATATAGGATTTCATGACAAAGTGGATGGTGGAAAGAATTTGCAACAGTATTTTATGGAGTAAAGTAACATCAAGAACACACTAGAATTGAATAAAAAGGCATTAGTAAATCTTGAGAAAAAATGTGATTCTACATTAGCTTCACTGACTAATAGAAACAGGAATATGATCAGCAAATATACTACAATGATATCAAATTTGCAGACTCCTGATTCTAGATTTGATCATCAAACTTTTAGAACTGAGTTGGAAAATGAAATAAAATCTGGTTAGGTATACAAATAAACAATTCAAATCCTAAAGATGGAGAGAAAGCATGAAAGAAAGATGAAGGACTTCAAGGAAGTAATGAATAAGAAATACTAGGCTGAGGTAAACTAGAATACTCAGGAGACAGGAGGCTCAACTTCACCTAAAGATAAAAAGCTTTCCACAATAAAGAAGAAGAAGAAAGACACTAGAGGACTAAATTTAGAGGTAGATGATGACTTCACTATAAATGTTGAGAACACGGATGATGAAGATAATCAAGAGAATGCTGGCAACTTGTTGAATGATAATTTAAGTGACTACTCTTATCAGGACAATGATGATGAGGTAAATATCTTCACCGATAAGTTCATATAAAAAAGTGAAGAAAAAAATCCTAAGTTTGATTATACTACTATCTAAACGTAGAACTAAAATAGAGTTATCGAAACTCGGCAATCAAGGACCTAGAGTGCTGTTAATAAGAATATTATAAAGATTTCTAAAAGGGCTGATCTTAAAGAGAGAATTAACAAAATGATCTTATCTAGAAATTTAAAGCCAGGTTAATCTAAAAAAACCTAGATGCTGTAAAGTCATGAGGTAAGTAAAGAGAAAATAGTATTCAACACTAAGAAAGGGTAAATACTCTATACTTAAGACTCATTGAAGAGGCTATTGAACAATGATAGTCTAAAGTATGAGAGAAGTATGAAGGCTGTTGTTGATGAATTTATGGAATTTTCATCTAAGAGCTACTACTTCATAAGTAATAGACTCAAAAATACGAAATGCTAATTTTGAAATAACTATTTATGATTAAAAATACTACTTTATCTAAAAGATTTGAATTCATGGGGTTTTGGGGTTTTGGGG